AGGTGTTGGGCTTTGAAATTCATCACTGCTCTTGCATCAAGACCACACCTCCCACAGGCTATTCCTTGCCCATGATTGAGTGTAGTCAGGATACTAAGGCAGACTCATTCCAGGGAAACAAAGAATTCCATTGTCTGCTGACTTTGGAATTTAAGGATGCCCTGATGGCTTTGACAAACTTTCCGTAGGCTGCATGCCATCCTAAGATGCTTCCACTTCCACCCAACCTTCTTTCTCTCTCCTCTTCACTAAACCTCAGACTTGCATTGCTATCGGACTGCTTTCCCAGCCTTCTCCTGCTCCCTCCCTATTTCCTTTCATACAGGCATTACTTTTTTTTTTTAAAGATTGGCACCTGAGTTAACAAGTGTTGCCAATCTTTTTTTTTTTCCCTTCTCCTTCCTCTCCCCAAAGCTCCCCAATACATAGTTGTATATTCTAGGTGCAGGTCCTTCTGGTCGTGCTATGTGGGACACCATCTCAGCATGGCCTGATGAGCGGTGCCATGTCGGCACCCAGAATCTGAACCAGTGAATACCCCAGGCCACCAAAGCAGAGCACGCGAACCCAACAACTTGGCCATGGGGCCGGCCCGCATGGAGCAGGCATTCACATTTAATCCTGTTTCGGTGTCTCCTTCTCAGAAGACCAAATCTAAAACTAGTGGCACTGAGAGTGATACAAGAAAACAGAGGGTAAGACGGGGATTTGGGACTGGCTCACTTACTGCTTGACAGGCAGAGGATGCTGTCCTGATTGGTAGATGTGGCACCAACAGAACTTGGCCCAGCGTGGCAGTTCAATTGTTAAAGATTTCACTTGTTAATTGTTAAAGATGTTGACCTCAGAAAATGTTCTGGTGGAGGAGAATACTGTGGAAGAAGCCATGATGTGGGCATTTGGAAAATATGGGGTTATTGCTAAATTGTATTGACACCTTGCATAAGGATAATGAGAGACTGAGAACAGTTAACAAGCATTTAATATCTAAGAGTGAAAACCAGAGAATCTTGGTGGTAGCCTCTAAAGAGCCCTCCTATAATGGTAGTGGAAGGGCAGACACAACAGAACAGTAGGCCGAAGACCTGATCGTGAGAGTTACAGAGCTCCAGAGGCCTTTGAATGCTCGGTCCATTCAGGTCTGTTATGTGAAGGGCAGGGCCCTGACAGGGACAATTGGAGATCCTGAAAACTGTGACAGGACATCTGGATGGATGCACCTGAGGATGCTGACTCTACAAGTCCACCTGGACTCTCTGGGCATGCAGAGGCAGCCCACTTCTAGCTCTAGTAAGTGCTAGAGCATTCACTGTCCTGGAAGATGCTGCAGAGGCGTCTCCCCAACAAGGCAACAGGCTCCCTGCCCCGGAGCTGCCCCCACCTCCTCTCCTGGTGCCAGGCCAATTAATGAGGGTGGTGTTCAACATCTATAACAAAAAAAGGCAAGAACAGGGGCCGGCATGGTGGCATAGTGGTTAAGTTTGTGCACTCTGCTGTGGCAGCCAGGGGTTTGCAGGTTCAGATCCCAGATGTGGACCTACACACTGCTCAACAAGCCATGCTGTGGTGGCATCCCACATACAAAAGAGAGGAAGATTGGGACAGATGTTAGCTCAGGGACAATCTTCCTCAAGCAAAAAGAGGAAGATAGGCTACAGATGTTAGCTCAGGGTCAATCTTCCGCACTAAAAAAAACCGAAACAAATGAGAACAGAGGAGTAGGAGGCTGAGGACAATTAACCCAATAGAAAGCACAATTCTTTGCTCATTTCTCAGGCTTGAACCAGTAATCATTGACCAAAGAGCTGACTGGGTTCCCAGGAGGAAGGACCCTGAAATAACAGTCCAAGTATATATCATGACGGTATCTCCAGGCTTCCCGCAAAGGGATCTCTGGCCACTTATACAGGTTACTGTATGCTGTGGAAAAGGAAATAACCAGACATTTTGAGGTCTGAGTTGACATTGATTCCCAGAATGGGATCTATGCTTAAAGTCCCAATCACACTGGGCCCAATGTGCCCACAGACTCCCCTGCCCCACAGAGATAATTTTCCCAGTCCCTGAGCACATAATTGAAATAGATATACTTGGCAGTTGATATTAACTTCCACACTGGGCCCTCATTGCTGAAGGAAAAGCTATCATGTTGGGGAAGACAAAATGGAAACTTTAGAAACTGTGTCCTCTCACCCAAGGCCAAAATTATAAAACAAAACAATTTCGTAACCCAAGGAAGACAGAGAGATTAGTCCCACAACCAAAGAACTAACAGATGCAAAGGAGCTGGTGCCCATCATAGCTCTGATTAATTTGCCAGTCTGGCCCCTGCAAAAACTGGATGCACCTCGGAGAAAGACTGTAGGCTACCACAGACATAACCAGTTAGTGGCCCCAACTGCAGCTGCTTTGCCAGATGTGGTAAAACTGCTAGAGCAGACTAATAAGTCTTCAGGTGTAGGATATGCAGCCGTTGATTTGGAGAATGCATTATTTCCATTCCACTTAGAAAAGAGGATCAAGAAAGGCTTGCACTTTCCAGTTTTAGCTCCAAGGTATAAGTGCTTGGAAGTCATCAGTCCTATCATCACAACAAGAAAAAAGGTGGATCACCTGAAAGTCAGTGACTCTTCTTGACTCATTAGAGAACTGAGTTTGCAGGGCAAACTTCCACCTTGAAATCTACATAAACAGACAAATCCAGACGGTCACTGAGAACTGCTTGTCTGGAACTGAAGCTGCTGGAAACATAAACTAGTAGGAACACTTAATTGGTAATTTTGGTGAATTACTGGAGGGAAAATAGGCAAGTACATTATGAAAGTTGGAGACTTCAACACCCCCCTGTCAGTAATTGATAGACCAAACAGGCAGAAAAATCAGTAAAGATATAGTTGACCTGAACAGCACTATCAATCAACTTAGTCTATTGACATTTATAGAATATTCCATCCAACAACAGTAGAATACAGATTCTTCTCAAGCTCATGTCTTATATTCACCAAGATGGACCACATTCTGGCCTCCTGTTAGACTCTCAGCTTCATGAGGACAGGGTCTGAGTTTGTAATTCTTACTGTGGCATCCTAGCACAATGCCTGACACACAGGAGGTGCTTGATGAATAATTTCTGAATAAATGAATGAATTGTAAAATTAGGCGACAAGACAAGGAAACTAGTCAGGATGGGAGTAGCAGCAAGACATAGTCTGACATAAATAATCATTTCTGACGCAAGCCTATAACCAATACATAGCTCCCCTGGCCCCCTCATTTTTGCCCATCCCAATCCTTCCCATGTCGAGGACCTGAGTGCTTTAGCCCACATGGATCAGCCTCTTTTAAAAACTTGTGAAGCGTTTATTATCTGTTTCTCATTTTGGCGTTTAATCGTACATTGCCTTGAATTGTAACTGTTTCATATATACACTTCTCATATGAGCTTCCAGAGTTTGGGATCATATCTCATCAAATCATCTGTAATATAAAAATAATTTGTATTCCAGTAGTTTATTTGTAAGCTAACTTCTTTTAGGACTTAGAGTGCATTTCCCCATTGAAACAATATTAAAAAGGGGTTAGATTCTCTTTAACATCTATAAAAATGTACTTAACGGTGATGCAACTGAACCGTATCACTACGATAGGCTAAGCTTGGAAGCCTCAGAGCAAGGGTTCATGCAGCAAAATCTGAAGGGCTTCCATCAGTCCCTGATTATCCCTTCAAAAGCTTTCATGCTTGAGCAGTGGTTTATTTCATAAGGTTTTAGATATTTTCTATAAAGTAACTCATTTTAGCCTCTTATATTTGCAGGGCTTTCATTGATTTTTTTCTGGAGCAAGTTCGTACTTGAGGGAGGGGGACTGAAACTCATTGATGATGCCAGTGCATAATTTTCAAAGACAAATAATGCCTGCCTGAGCTATCACCCGATTACGTTTGAACAGGGATGTTAATCAAATATGCATGGTGGAGGATTGTCACTTCCAAGGCATTTGTTTTATCACTGGTGTTATTTTTAGAGACCAGAACTTGCTCTGTTTCAGCTGACCTAATTATCCTGTTGATACAATTTTTTAAATTCTAGAAATTATTAACAAGTACCTAAGAATAAGTAAAGTTTTTAGAGAATTAGCTGTGTTTCAAGAGGAGGCTATGAGCTCTAAAATATCCTGCAGTTTAGCTTTGTGGAGATTTAAATCAGCTGCTTCCGTTTTTCTTTGTTTCTTTTAATAGAGTCAGTGACCTAGATCATGACCAAGAAGAGTTGTATAGAATTCAACTTGGAGATTTTTTTATTTAATGTGTAAGAATATGAGAAATAATTGAAGGCACTGAAAATGATCAGTTATTAGTTTGGGGACTAAAATTTTAAACCAAATTGGTGTACTGCCTTGTCACTCTGGCACTTCGCTAACTCTCTTCTTTACTCAGCTTCAGCTGTTTGTGATGAGGGGTATCTGGATGGAGGTCTTAGTTTCCGGAACTGCCTTGCTCTGCGATATTCTCACAATTCCCCTGGTTATCAACCTTATTGCCTGTTCTACCACTGCACTTCTGTTTCACTGGTAGCAATCGTGCGAACACACACAGAATAACTGTTGAGCACGTGTGGCCTTTTGAGTCAGATAACCTGTGTTCTAATTACAGCTCCACCATTTATTAGCTGTGCATCTTTGGCCCAGTTATTTAACCTATCAGATGCAATTTTCTCAACAGTAAAATGGAAATAAATATATTAGCCATCTCAAGGGCTGTAATAAGGATTAAATCAAATACTCTATGGAAACCACTTAGCACAGGATGTGGCATGTTGTTAGGGTTCAAGAAATCTTGTAATTATTATTACTACTATTACTTGAAAGGTACATATTATAACATTATGAAATCACAAATTGTTATGAGGTAGAAGGCATTCACCTGTGAAGAAATTGTTGGTCATTGCTTACTGTTGTTTAGAACATGAGTACATGTAAAACTTTGCTATTTATACTTTCAGGAATCCTTAAACACATTACTTAAACAGCTAGAAAAAGAAAAGAGGAGTCTTGAAAATCAAGTGAAAAACTATGCACTGAGACTGGAACAAGAGTCAAAGGTTTGTTTTTCTTCTATACTAAGAAATTCCTTTGAAACTGCCATAATTTTTAGTATGTTATCTACAAACCTACTATATAATTATTACAAAATAGTTACAAAACTATTTCCTACACTATTTTTTAGAAAACAAGATTGAGACTTAGTAAAAGTCTTGCTAGTATTGTCAATCTCCTCTCATGCTGGATTCTTCACTTTGGTATCTTCCGTATAGGCGTACCACAAGACCAACAATGAACGCCGTATATACCTAGCTGAGATGTCTCAGGTAACATTTTTTATTTTTTACTTCCAAATTCTAAGAGTTTCCTTTTACTTTATGTTTTTCACTTTTCTAGGTTTTTGATTGGTTTGGGTTAGTAGAGAAACAGATGTTGGAATTATGGGAGAAAAGGTACCAAGTTTCTGAATATGGAGGGTGAAAAGGAAAGTACATAACTTTTATGAAAAGGTAAAAAGGAGGTAAAAGTTTCCCAAATTAAGACAATTTTTTGCATACTTGTTTCCTTAGTTATGCTTTTAGTTTGATCTGTGATTGCTAGAATTCAAACAAATAAGCAGTTATCCCTCTGCTATCATGAAATTCAAGGCGCTTCACTTCATAATTATGTGTGTTGAGGTCTAAGATAGAGCATTGCTATTGCTAGAACAAGTGTACTTACAAATGACAGGACAGGAATGTGAACAGTAAATTATGAAAGATGTTGCACATATTTTCCACAGTTTTTCATTTGCCTTTCAGTTTTATTTATGATGTTGATATTAATAGAGTTTTTGTTTCAATGTTGTCAGAGCTATCTTTTATTTATGGCCTCTGATGTCATAGTTTAAAAGACTATCTGCATCTTAATGTTTCACAACATTCATCACATCTCTTTTAGTACTTAATTGCTTAATATTTGACATTTAAATATTTAGTCCTTATTAACTTCATTTTCGTATGTGTTTTAAGATTAGGATACGAGTTCAGTTTTCAATGTGCATTATCCAAATGGACGTGTCCAAAGATCAGTTGGATATGTGAATCTCAGAAAAAAAAAGATAAAGATTGGAGATATAAATTTGGAAATTATTAGCATATAGATAGTAAATCACGCCATGTGAATGAATGAAATATATCAGGGAGAATACACAGGGTGAAAAGAAAAGATAGTCTAGGATATAGCTCTGAAGAGTTTCAACAGTGATAGTCAAGGGAAGAAGAGCCAAAAAGAGGGTGGGAGTCCTTAGGACATAGCCAGGTGAGGCAAAGAGGTAGAGGACCTCGAGGGCTGGGTTTGTCATAAAGGTAATCTGCTAATCACTGATCCAGAGTATCCATTGAATCAACAAAAGGATTGAGAGCGAGTGAGTTAGGTTTGAGAATTGGAGCTGACAAAGGAAGTATAGAACAATTTGAGAATGGAAGTCAGGGCAATAGTGGGTAATGGGAGGCTTGGACTTCTAGTGCTAAGGTGAGTAGGAAATTGAGACAAGATAGGGTCACTCCTTGTGGTCTCTTACCCATAATATGGACAATTAATTCAAGCTTTATGGTCCCAGGTCCTTGGCTGGAAGCACTGCTTTCTCCTGCAGTGCAGGCACCCTCATCCCTTTCCTCAGACCATGTGCTCCACTTGGAATGTGCTGCTTCTCATACACGCCAGTTCTGTTTCCTTCAAGGGTCCAGCACAAATGCTGCCTCCTTTATGAAGCCGTGATGTGATGAAAGGCCACAGACTTTGGAGTCATTGCAAATTTGGATTTGAATCCCAGCTTTGTATTTACTGCAGTGTGACCTTTTTGTGCTTTAGTTTCTTTCCTCCTCTGTATCAGGGAAATAATAGCAGTATCTTGCAGGGGGGTTGTGAATGTTTAGAGATTATATGTATGTAAAGTGCTGAGTGAAATGCCCGGCACGTAATAGGTTCCAAATTCCAGTAAATGGTGGACATTATCTTCCTGTTTTTCTTTCCTGATCTCCCTAGCCCCTCTCACTGTGACAGGGATGTCAGAATTTCTACTTGCCTTAGCCTTCCTCCTTTGTTTTGATTAGCTGAAAAATTCATGTAGGTGGAATAGTTCCTACCCTGATTATACAGGATCACTGAACATTTAATCAAAGCCTATTTTAACAGCTTCCCAGGAAGATGTTAATCCTGTTCCCCAGTATAAATGTTAATAAGGATTTTCACTCTAGAGTGAATTGTTCATCTTTATAGTCAAAGATGGTTCTGACCATGTGGATACATGGTGACTGGAAAGGTCAATGGATGATTTGCAGTTCTTTCCACGCTGAATGCATGAATAATTGATTCTTTGGTAGATAACTAGAGCTATTTGCTGAGTCTGCTCTTTATACTTCTGCTGTCTTCACTGTTTTGACTGAAACTGAGTTTCTACATCTCCGGATTCTTCTATTTTACACAGTGTGCATAAAGTACAGACTTTATTTTTAAAGAATATTCAGGTAGTGCATTACTTAAAAGTCAGACAGAAAGACTGACTAGAGCTTCTTGCAACACATAATAAACACAACTTCTATTCCCATAAATATAGAATTTTAGCAATGGATCTGAAAGTTTGTTGAATATATTGCTTTGGTTTACAGATAAGGAAACTGAGGCCATTTTGTTTTCGTTGTTAGTTAATTCTAGACGTGGTAAAGCATCTTATGATGCTCGTTATTCTCCTTCCCTGGAGCTTCCTTAAAATCCATTGATTTTATTTCCATCCTCTGAAGAACACAGAACAATTCTACACTCCCCTTCTATATGACAACTTTTCAAAGAATTAAAAGTAATTCTCAGTCTTCCTATAGTTTTTTTTTTTTTCTGAACTAAAATATTAAGTTACATTAGCCATTCCTCATAACAGGTTCCAGACTATCCAGCTATTTCTGCTGCCTTTTTTGACAACTCTTATTTTGGTATTGTTCATTTAAAAGTAGAGGTCCCCAGCTTTAAATCTAGACTTAAGATATAATCTCAACAGCATAGCTGTTAACATCTTGTCCTCACCATACTCATTTTTCTTCTCTGCTGCCCAAGCGATCATTCCGAAATACAGACATTATGGTGTTGTTCCTCATTTAAAACCTTCAGTGACTTTGCATTGTAAAAGGATCTCAGCAAAGCTCTTTGGTGTGTTCTTCAAGGTCCTCTCTGACACCAGTGCCTGCCTCTTCAGCCTTGTCCCTACTCACAGCCTGTACTCCAGCTAGACCAACAATATGCGCAATTCTTAGGTCTATCACGGTACTTTATACCCTAGGCTCTTGCTGCTCCTTCTGCCTGGAATGTCCTTTCTCTAGTTCTTCATTGGCTACTCTTCCATGTGGAGCCCCCTATAGCCTGAATTTGTTGTATGCTTACAAAGCACCTATGCAGACCTCTGCCAAGGCAGTGAATTGTACAATCTATTTGTTTTGCTGTTTCCCCAATAGATTGTAAGAACCATGATTTGTCTTCGTACCCCAGTGCCTCATCTAGTGGTGACACATAGTAGATACTCAATAACATTTGCTGAGTAGATAAATGAGCAAATTCCATCTTCTTGTCCAACGTGCCCAAAGTTATCACTCTTAGCCGGTGATCTAGCATTTTACTTCACAAAAAAAAGAGAGTTCATCAGGTGTGAAATCCAACTATCTTCCCTTTTACCTTCAAATGTGTCTATATCTTTATCCACCATTCCTGTTCCCCATCCTGTCTTAAAGAAAAAGCAGCCCAAACTTCTTCCCAAGTCTATCTACTGCCTCTAGGACTCAGTTAATAATTATTTCCTCTTATATTTTTAATCTCTCTTCTGTTGGCTGTGGCTTAGCCCTTTACAACATGCTCATTTCTTCCACCAAAACAAAATGAAAACAAACTTTTATTTTACTCTGACTATCCTCATAAAATTACTACCTTAGCTTTCTTTTTCTCAGCCAAACTTCGTGAAAGAGTGGCTATACTCACTGCCTTTGCTTTTCCCTCCTTCTGACCCCACCATTGGACCCTGACACAGTTTAGCTTTTAATAGCCAAATACATTGACTCCCTTCAAGCCTCCTGGTAGTAGACAACTCTGAGGCATTCCATAGTCTAACTATGCTCACTTTTTAAAATATTCCCCCCTCTTGACTTTCATAACAGTATTTTTTCCTGGGCTTTTCCATTGTTTAGATGATGGCCTTATCTATCTTGACTGATTCTCCTATCCCTTAAAAGTTGCTTTCCCAAGTTTATATCATCAACTCTCTTATTTCTCTGTGTGCTCTCAATGAATGATCTCAGTTACTTGTGGCTTCAATTGCCATCTCTAAGGTCATCAGCCTCAATTGCTCCTGAATTGCAGATTATATTTACACCACCCACAAGCAGTCTCTACTTCTGTCTCCTGGAAGAATTTCAAAATAGACAAACATGAAAATATGATCTTGTCTTTCCATTTCAACATATCTACATTTTCTATTGTCTTATCTACCTTAATGACAGAGTCCAAGTATTATTTATATTTAGTGTCTATTACAAAATCCTTAATAATCTATACCATGTAGACGATATGATTTTCACAGTTCCCTCTATATTTATTTTTAAAATGGTATGGAGTGTGAGCTTGCGATAGAGGGGTTTCTACTATCTTTAGAAGCCTCGTACTGCTGGAGAGGGCCAGAATTTCCCATTATTTTTAGCTTCTCTTATACGTGCTACTAACGGACTTGGTTAACAGTTAATTGAGAATTGATTGTTCCTCTTATCTCTGAAATCAATCATGAAATAAGAGGATGAATGCTTAAATGTTTGTATTTCAGGTCTCTGGCTCATACCAAATGTCTAAAAGACAACAGAAGGATCAACTGCCTAGAATGAAGCAGAATCTCGTGAAAACGTAAGTCTAACTGTATCTTTCCTTTCTAATTAGTTATATTTGAAAGTGAGTGGTACTGACAAAACAGGTGTCCATTATATTTTGGAAGTTGAACATCTAGATTTTATAGCAACGATATAAAGTAGCAGATGGTAAGAGAACTTAAAGAAGTTTGTCCTCTCCTTTCGCTATTTATATACATTTTATAGATCACAGGAACATTTTTTGTCCTCCAACATGAAAAGTTTACATTTTCTAAGGTAAAACAATACTGTACCCAAGGAGAGCTTAAAACTACACCATTAACAACAATATAAATACAATTAAATTATCAGCCTTAACCGTTTTAGTGAGGAAATAAATGTAGATGATAGTGCAGTTTAAACTATGTTTTTCTATGTAAACAAAAACAATTTAAGATGAATAAAGAACAGAGGAACGTTTTATGGGTCTAGGAGGTTATATCTACACACAGTTGTTCCTGGTCCTGTATTAAGTACAGAAGAATTACTCAGGCATTCCCTGTCTTATAAAATTTATCCTATGTACGGGAATATATTCATATATAACTTAATATAAAAAAAGTAAACCAAGACATAAATTATCTATAAATCAGAATCCTTTTCAAATACAGGCACTCAAGGGGTATGCAAGATAGTAAGTTTCTTTGGTGGAAATTCATAGGATAACAACATTTTGTCCAATATTTGGCTAGATGGATAAGAGTACTGTTCCTTGAGTAGTCATAATACTTTAAATTATAATTATCTTTGTACATTTTCATCAATGGAAATATAATGTAGTTAAAACATTAAAGTACATTTTGGAAAAGGACTTCCCTTTGAAAACTATTATACCTCTGTGTTGCGGGCCCCAAGACCACTCCCACATTCAGTGATTCCCTAGAATGACTCATGGGACTCAGAATATATTTGTGATGTGGCTAAAATTTATTACAATAAAAGGATATGAAGGAAAAGGTCTATGGGATGAAGTCTGGAGGAAAGTTGGTGCAAGCTTCTAAAAGTCCCCTGTGGAGTCACAGAGACACGCTTAATTTCTCCAGCAATGAGTTGCGACAACACTTGTGACAACGTGTGAAGTTTACCTTCCAGAGAAACTCATTAGATATTTAGTGCTCAATGTTTTTACTGAGGACTGATCATGGAGGTACCTCTGCCTAGCACATACCAAAATTCCAGACTCCCAGAAGGAAAACAGATGTTCAGCATAAACCATGTTATTTGTACAGGTTAAGCACGGCAAATCATTCTTTTCATTTAAGGAAAATTTTATATCAGAGTAAAGAACTGTTTACCACTAAGTTCCCAGACACCAGCAAAGGGCCAACCTTGCCAGCAGGGCTTTCTAAGGATAACAGGCTTGCTATGTTAACTCTTTTCTGCACAATCACCCTAAAAATTTATTTTTTATTTTTACATTTATCTTTCAGTTCAAATTTCTTTTAAAAAGATATCACCTCTGTTATTCAAATTTACTTAAGTAGTGAAAGGAGAAATATTTTGAAAATAAAAATAAAACAGCTTCATTCTAATCATATATTAACATACATATACATATATATATCACTAGATTATAGGACTGTGAGGGCAGTTTGATTTTCTATTGAATACTGTTGTAGGTTGGATCTCTCAGGGAGTGGACTCTGAAATGGAACCCGGCATGCAGGAAGTTTACTAGTGAACATTCTTAGAATCAATGGCAGAAGGGAAGGAAACAGGTTTGGGCAGAGGGACTAGGGTTACAGTGCAGCTGCAGACCCCCGTGCCAAGCTGATTCATCAGTGAACCAAGTGTGGGCCTCCTCTTCCCCTGATGGGATGACCTAGACCTTTCTACAACTGAGAGTCTGAGCCCTGTTTTGCTATGTCCTTTCCAAGCCATGGCTAAGGTTCTTGTCCACTTACTGTCAAAACTGGGAAAGGTAGTACTAAAGGACGATCAAGTAGATCACCCAGGTGCCAAACCCATTCCTCCTTGTCCTCTTGTAGCAGCAGCTGTATATCATTCTGATGATCAGTTGTCTGTGGGGCCCTCCACGCCATAGGTTTGAGCTGAACTTGAGGTGCTGGCACATCAGAGATGGATGATGATCTTGGATACCTGCTCAGTAAGCTTATTTGTGCCCTCTGGCGCTGCTCATGCTTGATCTTGGATATATCACTTCCATCTTTGATAGAACCTGGCGTTGAATACAGTGCCTGGCATAAATAGGTGTTTAGTAATATTTGAATGAATGAATGGTCACACAAATGGACAAAAACTCCTTCACTTTCTGGAAATATGAATAACCCAAATAACTCATATACTAGAAATATTTCTGTATACCTGTAATCTTCCAAATTAGATGTATATAACTGGCACTACATTAAAATGTTGTTCTGAGTTTCTGACTTAACTCTGGAATTTAGTATACTTCTTTAGTTGATGATTCAATCTTTTTGCCTTAAAAACAAGTTTTGGTGTTAGGTTCCTCACAGAAGAGGATATCCAAATGGCCAGTGGGCATATAAAAAGTTACTCAACACCATTACTCATCAGCAGAATGCAAATTAAAATTATGAGATACCACCACAAATTTTAAAGATTGATGATTCCAAGTGCTGTCAAAGATGTGGAGGAATTGAGGACTCTCATACACTGCTGGTAGGAGTATGAATTTGTACAATCACTTGGAATACTATTTACATTACTTTCTACATTTAGCTGATTATACACCTATGATCCAACAATTCCACTTCTAGTTACATCCCTAACAGAATGGTGCATACATTTACACCAAAAGACCTGTACAAGAATGTTCACGGCAGCTTTATTCGTAATGGCTCCAAACCGAAAAAACAACAAATGTCTATCAATAAAAGAATGGATAAAAATTTTTGAGAGATATATATATGAATATTTGTTTTTTATTACTGTTATTATTCATATATATGAATTATTCACATATTATATATTATTTTATATATTATATTATACAATATATTATATTGTATATATTATTCATATATATGAATAATAACAGCAATTAAAAACAAATATTCATTTATTTAAATAAATAATAACAAAAATAAAAGCAAATAAACCACAGCTCACACAACATTATAAACAGTTATCACAGTGTTGGATGAAAGAGGCCAGAAATAAGAGACTATTTATGTATAATAGGATACTATTCATATAACGTTCAAAGACAGGCAAAACTGTCTGTGGGGTCAGAAGACAGGATACTGGTTACCAAATGTGGAGGAGAAAGGGAATAATAATTGGCGGGACATGAGGACATCTTCCAGTGTGATGACGATCTTCTGTGTGCTGACCTGGGTGGTAGTTACACGAGTATTTGCTTTCTTATAATTCATGGAGCTGTACATTTATGTTTTGTGCACTATTCTGTATGTGTTATACTTAATACAATGTTTGTTTGTTTTTTAGATTTTTAACTTTTTCCTTCTTCTCCCCCAAGCCCCTCAGTACATGGTTGTATATTTTTAGTTGTGAGTCCTTCTAGTTGTGGCATGTGGAACGCCACCTCAGCATGGCTTGACGAGAGGTGCCATGTCCACGCCCCAGGATCTGAACCAATGAAACCCTGGGCTGCCGAAGCAAAGTGCACGAACTTAACCACTCGGCCACAGGGCTGGCCCCTAAAACAATGTTTTAAAAGTCAAGTTTTTATTGGCTTTTAATGTTTGCTTTGGTTAATATTCTCATATACACTAATGTTAAAATAGTGACATTTATTTCTAAAGTTCATAATAAATCAGAGCAGTAGAAAATACCCATTTAACTGAAATTCTATTAAAAAATCTATCAGAGGGATAGTGCCTGATTGACTATTAGCTATTATATTCTTGCTGTGTGGAACTATGGCCACAAATGAACAAGATTTCTATACTGCTATTGAAAGATATATTCTAGAAATCCTTAGATATACTGATTTGAAAAAAGGCTCTTTAAGATAATAGGAGAAATAGTCTTTGTAGGATGAGGTTTGGAAGTTGCCGAAAGCTTCTAGACAAGTTACTAGGTAACCTTATTGATTGTGACCCGTGGCATGTATTAGCAATGAAATATCATATTCCTGTGAGCAAGGAGCTCAAAAACTGATACCAAAGCAGTGGTTCCTAAAAGTAGAAAACTGTAAAATTAATTTTATTCTTCAGTGTGCAGCCTTGTTTTTTTCCTGCTTATGAAGAGTTTTAGAGTTATTAAAGGCCCAAGAGGAAGAAAATAACAAGACAGTCCTTACTGTCCTGAGAGAAATTGATTGTAGGACTCATTAAGAGAGAGGGCGTTAGGGGAACATCCTTTTGATAAGAAAAGCAGCTAGAATGGAGAAATCACAACCCAAATATCAAACACTAACGGAAAAATTCAATAAACTATAATGATATTATGAAGTTACAAAAAATTGCATTCTGGGAAAATATATAGCTGACATGGGAAAATGTTTACCTATAGTAGTAAATAAAAATATAATACAAAACAGTAGAGTGGGGTTGTGGATAGCTTATTTTTATACTTTTAGTATTTTCTGTAAGAATATGTATACTTTTAACACAACTTAAAGTACCTAAAGCTCATAAAAGATATTCAAGAAATTGAGGTATTTTTATAAGGTTCTTCTAAGGAAAGAAAAATAAAGATTTTAAGTACGTATAGGAAAAAAGTTAAACTCTGAGAACTTCTTAATTTGGAACTAGATGTATATAGGAAAAGTCACAGTAGTAATTAAGGGAATCCTTGTGTCTAATTGCTTAAGTGTTTGTGTGTTTTTGTAGGATAGTATTGGGGCAGCCAATAACAAAAGAATATGTGTACTTTGTGATCATTTTTAATTACTTTCTATTGAAAGAGAAAAATTAAGAGAAACTCTATCTACTAGATAGACTATGGAAGCCCTGAAGTCAAAATAATAGTGTGAATGCTTGAGTAGCTGCTACAGTACAGCATTTTAAAAAATAGTGAGAAGTGGTAAATGAAAATTTGCATTGGCTT